CTTTACAGCTGTGTATTTTGGAAACCTTGTTCCTAAGCAGATAAATGACCCATTTTACTCTTTGGGCTCTTGGTGTGGACCCCAGCAGATTCCACCATTGGCAGATCTCTTCTGGCAAAAGGCCACAGTGGAAGCTGATCACTATGTATAACAGCAGAACTCATCTTTTCTAACCACCTCTCTCCTTTCAGCCCTTCACTGTGCATTCACCTTTCTGCATCGTGTTCCTGTGAGAACCTCAAACGTTCAGGAGTGCAAACGTTCAATCTGCTGCACAAGCCACTCTGAGAAAGCACCAAAACAGCCTCAGCTCTGCTGTACAGAGAAGGAAACACAAAACTGCCCGGGCACGGTGTTTATGCCCCTGTGAGCACACAGGCGCTGTGCTTGGGTAAGGTTCGCTGTTGCACCTGCGTATCTTACTCCACCCTGGTGAGGTTAAAGGACACGGGGCTGAACGGTGCCTTATAACCCTTTATCTGCCACGATTAGGGCCTCACCATGTAACATCACTGCCAAAACCTAAGAAGGTAGCCAGAGACACAAGAAGATTAAGGCCTAAACCACCGTGTTTTGGTGGCTGACATGCAATGCCACGCCTCATATTTGATCAGATCGAAAAGCACTCGGATTGTCAGGCTGCTGAATCAACCCAAACCCCACTGGGTCCATGGGAAAGGCACACCCACAGTGGCCTCTCCAAGTCAGGGTGGTTATGAAGGCTCCTAAACCTGCACAATTAAAGGCAAACAGCTTGTGGGCTTCCCACCAAAGTGATTCTGTCACCAGCTCTAACGCCTCAAATCCAGAGGGATGTATGTGATTGTCCACAGTGCCTGCAGTGGGTGGCCACAGCCACCACCAGCAGAAGGCTGCCTTCCCCTGCTACCCTGGCAAACCACTATGGACAGGGAGATGAATCCCTCCTTTGGTGACTATGGGGAGGAGATCAAATTCAAAGGACTCAAAGCCCTCCAAAGATGCAACCTGCCTGAAGCAGAGGGAGTGACAGTATGGAAGGATGGAGCAGACCACCAGCACCAAGGATGCAGGAGGTGCTGGCAAGCAACACCTGCTTGTCAGCTGTCACCGAGCATTAGAAAACACTTGTGTTTTCTATTTCACATGTGCAGATCCAAACATTACCCAAGGCAGAAAGACTGAGACTGTAACTAACAAAGCCATAACCACCACAACTAGTGCTCTCCCTTCCAATATGTTTTAAGGGTTCCCATCACCTTCATTGCACTAGCTAGTGCAAACCATAGTACTGCTGCTAGACCATCACGTGAATCTTCCAATCCAAATGGCCTCCTAAAAAGACTATTTGCTTCATTTTCATGGAACAACTGTATAAAGGTGTCCTTTTTGTCATGTGGCTCAGTCACACCAGCCACACTTCTTGCACAGCTTCCATGAGGAAGCAGACACGTATCATCTGGCTCCTCGCAGACCACAGCCTTCGGTGGGAAGGAAAGGTTTCACAGAGGATGAGCATAACCTCAGCGAGCCTATGGTAAGGTCATGCTCAAAGGTGCAATCACCAACCCATCTGAACAGACACAATAACGTGGTCAAGATCATAAGGCATACCAGGCTTTTAAACATTACCATTTCTGGTAATGGCCACATTTGAGAGTATTTGTTTTTAACAAGAGCTATTTTTGTCTGCACTTCCTAACTCACTCTAAATGAAGAAATTCAGTAAGTTATTCTCAGCTGCGCTGTTTTCAGAGCACAGAGAAAGCCAGAGGGCAAGCAAAGAGCCCACATTGCCAGAACTTAACTTCCTAGAAAGTAGGAATTGGTCAGGCTGCCCTGTACTGAAGAAACAGTACCATTCACAGGGCTATGAGGAAGCTGAGGCTGACGGGCTGCTCAGAGCAGAACGGAGGTTAGTTAACGGGGACCTGCCCACTCTGGAGTTGCTCTCCCACACCCCATTACCCTGATTCACTGCAGACCTTCCAGCCACGCATCCAAACGAAACACAGCGACCAACTCCACGGCCTCCTCCTCCCTGCAGTGCCTGGCCTGGTGCAGGGGACTGCCTGGGGCAGCCAGAATGCAACCTGGCAAAGGAGCCCCTTGTGCCGGAGGGTCCTGCACACCAGCCCTCCCCATGGATCAGAGCCCCTGGGAGGGGGGGGTCAGCATGATGGTTTTCTGCTGCCCTTATTGCCACAGACTCAACACAATGGAGGAATAATGCTTCCGCAAGTGCCGCGGATGCAGGACAGCCCTGGAGGGCTCTGCCCCTCCGAAACACACCGGCTGGCAGGTAACTGCCCAGAGCACACAGCTGTTGGCTTTGGGCTTGCCCGGAGAGCAGACGCACTGAGGAACACTGCCCCTGCTCGTTCTCCAGCAGACCAGGAGATGCACGGCACTGCCAAGAGACTGGAGGCATGCGGTAAGGAAACGCATTTTTTCCTCCTAAACCCTGAATGCCTGAGACTACTCCAGGGCTGTAAAAATACTTCCCCTTTCACTGTCATTGCTGTGTGGCACCGCTTGGAGAGGGGCTCACCCCCCGGCCCCAGGCAGCTCAGGAGGGAACCACCCTGACACACGCTGCAAGGCTGAGCACTCCTGCCCGTGATTTTTGTGGGTGCTTTTAACAGAATTAAACCCTTAATCCCCCTGCGCCTAACGTGAATGTGCCAATTAGTTGGGACGGTCGCTTTAACTTGGGTTTAATTGGTTTAAAGGCTTCGGATGCAGCATTAGAAGGGAAAACAGCGCAGATTTGCAATGGAAGCGCGGTCACCAAGGACAACCAGCACCGGTCTGGTCTCCCACTCGCTCTGCGTGCCAGCACGTGGGACACCCGGCGAAGCCAAAAGGGGCACTTGTAAGCAGTTTTATGAAGGGAAAAAAGGAGGGTTTCGGGATTCTCCATCAATGAATTCCCTCGTGACCGGGGCGAGCAAAGGCAGCTAAAAACTAACAAAGGCAGCGCATCGGAAAAGCTCGCAGATAAAAAGAACTTTATAGGGATAAATGTGGGTGGGCTGGGGAGAAAAAAAAAAAAAAAAAGAGAAATTCAGAGGAAAATAAGCAACAGGAAAAGGAGTCTATGGAAAAGGAGCCTGGAAAAGGAGCCTGGAAAAGGGTATCCGCAGCAATCGCCCTCGTTGTGCGCCTCTGGACCTCAGCTCCACCGAACCCCGACGGTGCCCGCGACCTTCCCCGGAGGCGGCTCGCAACGGCCCCCGAGGGACCGCGACCTTCCCGGGCGGGGACCGCGCCGCTCTGGGCTCAGGAAAGCGCTGTTCCGGTCACGTCGGAAGGAGCCCGGCGGCGGCTCCATTTCCGAGCGGGAGCCCAAAGGCCCTTTGCGGGCGCCGCCGGGCCGGGGCGACCCGCGCTGTGGCGGCGGCGGCGGAGCCTCCGCGGGGTCAGCCCCGGCCCGGCGGCGCCCGCCCGTGCGCGGAAGGCGGCGTTGGGTCCGCGGAGACAAAGCGGATGCCTCACATTCCTCCCCGGCACCCCCCGCCCGCCCCGTCGTCGCCCACCTCTGCCTACCTGAGGGAGCCGGCCGGGCCTCGCTCCTTCCTCCCGTCCCGTCCCTTCCCTTCCGTCCCTGCCGCCCGCGGCGCGCTGCAGCCGGCGGGGCAGCCCGGGCTTGGGCAGCCGCAGCCCGCGGGGGGCTCCGGGCTCGGCGGCGGGTGCGGGCGCTGACAATGAGGGGAGGGCGGCGGGACCGGGCGGCGCTCTGACGTCAGCGGAGCGGGGCGGCTCCGCGGGGAGACGGGAGGGCGCGGCGGCCATCTTGGGGGGAGCGGGAGCTGCAGTCTGAGGGCTGCGGGGGGCGGCGGGGAGGGGGTGCGGGACCCTGCGGCTCCGGGACGGCAGCACCGGGGGGACGTGGAGGCGGTGGAAGGGGCACGGGTGCCTGTGGCGCGGGGCGGAAGGAGCTCGGTGGTGCGAGGTTGGGGAATGGACGAGGTCTGTCCCGGGGAAGGAAATGGGATACGTGACCTAGTGGAGAGAGGAGGAGGAAGGAAGCGCCGGCTGCTCGGAGGGGAAGGAGGAAGTGTTTTGGGGTTTATTCATGGGCATTTGGCGCAGTCAGCACGAGGCAGAAGGACAGAAAGGGACGAGTTGAATGCGGGATGTAACGAGGGGATCCGGCGCTTGGCTGGGCTGGGAGGTGCTGAATAAAAGCCATACAAATAGGAGCAAAGGGGGGGAACCCAACTCGCCCTGAAGAGTCAAGGGGACCAGGAGGGGGGAAGTCTCCAGCCCAGGGCCTGGGATGGGCAGAGGGGAGCGCTGGAGGAGGGGGTACGGCAGCGGTGGGGTGCGCTGGGGAGGAGCAGCCCGGGAAGCAGCGATCCCTTCCTACGGGATCCTGCGGAGCGGCAGCCCCCCCCCCCGAGGGCCCTTGCTGGGCAGGCGGCTCGGTTCCAGGGGTGCAGGGTGTGGGCGGAGGTGACGAGCGCCCATGAAACCGGGCGTAACCTGGGGAAGCGGCCGAAGCTCTCAGCGCCTGCGGCAGCGGAGCCCGGAGGGGTGCAGCAGGTTTAAACCAACACAAGTGGCTCCTGCAGCCGCTGCACAGCCTGGGGAGCTGAGAGGCGGGCGGCTGCGGGGTGCCCCCAGCACCAGGGCCGGGAGGCTGCGGGGTGCCCCCAGCACCAGGGCCGGGAGGCTGGGCAGGGATTAAACAAGCTCCTGGGGAGCAGCAGTGGCTGTGACAAACGCCTGAGTCACCCGCGAGCTCCCCAGGCCCTGGGCTGGCTCCTCGGGTGTCCTTGCTGTTCCGTGCCCGCTGTCTCTGGTGCGTCCCCCTGAGGTGTCTGCGCTCAGCCAGCAGCTTCCCGGGAACGATGCCCTCGGTTCCGCCTCCCTCCTGGAGCCGCTCGTGTGCCCGCGCTGCTCCGGGTGCGCCGGTCCGGGGGTCTGCTCCGTTCGTTAGGCTGGCGGAAAAGGGAGGCAGGGCGAGCGCTTCTGTGCCAGTCCCGAGAGCTCAGCGGGGCCCTGTCCCAGAGCCGGGGCTCTCCATCACGTCAGGATCTCTGCCTTCTCTCTGCAAAGACCGCATTTAGTCGTATTATTACTATTTTTTAATGGAAGTGGAGCCTCTTCTGTTATTCCCTGATATTCGGGCTTTAAGTATTTATAAAGTGAGAGTCATGATAACCTCCTGACACTGAAGTGGTTTCTAAAAGCTCCTGACAGAGCTGAAGCCTATGCTAGGTGCCACACACGGTTTAGGAACGTTCCTAAACACAGTAAGGAGGAAGAAGGAATAGATGGATGCTTGTGTGGGCAGCACTGCCGTCTAGCTTGCTAGGCACGGCATTATCAGGACTCTGTGTGGCAGCCAGCGTAAGTTTGGTTTGGTTTGTTGTTGTTTTTCTCTCTGTGTGTAACTGTTTCTTGTTCCTAGGATCAGCGGGATACCACCATTAGGATCCTGCAGCCATAGCAAGGTTAGTAACAAAAGCACTCAGGAACAAGCAGCAACATCAGAAGCAGGTCGTTGTCTTATTCTGTTCATACTGCTGCTATCTTCCTCTTGGTCACAGAGCACTTGGGGTTCTCTGTCATGAAATTCAGTTGAGTTTAGAGGGTGTTTCACTCCTTCCTGGAGCAAACATCTTAAAAATGTCAGCTGAATTAGGCCTATACATGGAACCAGAAGGGATGCATTTGAGGGTACCAAGCATGCTTGCCAATGTAATCTCAAGACTGGTTTCTCTCATCTTCGAAAGGTCTTGGTAATTGGGAAGAGTTCCTGATGATTGAAGAAAGGACAAATGTCATTCTTGTTGTTAGGAATGGCAGTGAGGATCCATGCAGCTACCAGCTGGTCAGCCTTAACTCAGTCCCTGAAGAGTGGACAGCACATCCTTCTGGAAGCTATTTCAAAGCATGTGAAGGACAAGAAAATTACTGGGAACAGCCATCAGGGATTTACCAATGACCAACCTTCTACAGTGAAGCAACAGCCTGGGTGGACAACAGGAGGGCGCTTGGTGTTGTATTGATTGATAGTAGCCTTGACTTTGTCGTGACATGGTCTCCCAGCGGTCTACTTGTAGCCAAGTCGGTGACATTTGGACTGGGTAAGTGGAGTGTGAAGTGAGTGAGAAACGGGGTGGATGGTTGGGCTGAAGGGGTCATATCAACTATATGGAGCCCAACTGGCAACTAGCTGCTATGGGATCCTTCGGGAAAGGGGCCTCCCTCTCAGTAGCAAGGTGCTGGCAACACAACTGCTGTGAAGATGTGTCTGTTGCCACCAGAAGCTGGAGGGGGTGTGTGTGTGAATAAGGCGGCTTGGAGGAAATCCTGCTGAGAGGGCTCTTGACTTCATTACCTGTTAACCTACATTTCCTCCTCCTGTTTCACCGGTGATGAAGCCTAAATGCAAAACCTGCTATTGACAAGTGTATGGGATATGTGTCTGGTCATTGGAGTTTTCAGCAGAAGCATCTGGCTGCTGTTGGGAATTCCTCACCTCTGAGTGACAAGAGCTACTGAACACCTGTAGCCGGGTTGGCATAGTGGAGGTTGTATGGGAACCGTGCCTACAGCCACCCCTCCTGGCATTCCTTCATGGGCTCTTAAGGTTTACTGCAGAGGGAGTAGTCTTACACATACAACATTTGCTCCTCCATCTCTGCATTGGTAAGCGTGGCAGTATTGCTTCAACTCACACTGCCCATGACCATCTTCCATTCCCATTGCAAGATTCAGGCTTGTCCTGGGAGGAGTGAGCAGGTTCCACTTCCATTGTCTTGCCAGCCTTCAGCCATGGTGACTCCTCATTGCTAACACTCATCCCCTTCCCCAGCTGTAGGAATAACCCACGCTGAAATGTAATTGTGGGGTGCTGCAGTGAACACGCAGACATGCTTTGACTTTTGTTTAGCTATTTCTTGTGTTTTCAATAAAATCCATATTATGGTGGGACAGGCACAACAGGGACCTCTATGCAAATAAAAAAAGGTCTTTTAACTTACCTATGTGCTCACTATTGGAAGAACTTCACCAGAGAGGCACTTAGAAATCATGCAGCCCCCATGTGCCTTCTGTGAAGTGCATTTGGGTCCTGACTGCAATCCACAGAGCATTAATGACATGGTAAATACAGACACTGACCTCTGGGCCATGATAACCTCCTCCTTTCAACTCCGAGACGATGGGGTGTTATTTATCTTTCATTTGTGATCCTTAGCTGGTGTTTTCATGTGCCAGTTCCATATTAATATTTTTTCCAGTATGAGTTCCTGAAGCACTTTGTCAAATATTTACCAGCATTAAGAATGGTGTAATATTAGACCATCTGCCCTTTTTAATTAGCCCTTGATCTAATTAAGGACAGGGCCTCTTGCATTGAACTGTGAATTCTGTTTGCTCTTGAATTGAACCGTGTCTTAGAAAAGCCCAACGAATAGTAGTGGGTCATCTTCCTATGAAAGATAAGTAACACCCCATAATCTCTGAGTTGAAAGGAGGAGAGTGTCCACAGTGCCCACATGGGCTGTGGCCCGTGTCAGCTCATGTGTCGCCAGGCAGTGCACAAGGAGTGAGCACAAGTGAGAGAACCACCACTGCCGGTGGGAGCTGTGGATCCTCTCTGGAAGCAGACTGGGCGGACATGGCCAGGTAATTCTTGAGCTGGGCTGAGCTGTGTCAGCTCGCTCCTGGGAGGGGAGAGGAGCTGTGTCCCAAACAGGGCAGCCTCAATTGCCCTCAGTGTGCGCTCTGAGAGGACTATACAACTGCTCTGATTCTGCCGTGGGTGTTCCTGGGGCAGTCGCTTCATGGTCCAGTCCTCAGCAGAGGCACCAGCAACAGGAGGAAGCTGCAAGATTGTGCAAGAGATGTAAATGAGAGGCTGAAAGGCTGTAGTGGGCCTGGATGTGTCACTTAATTCTCTCCTCTCTACCTCTCCATTTCTTGTCATCGCCTCCTGGCTCGTTTTTGAAGTCCCAGTCACTCCACAATGGCACTAACTATAATTTCCTCTTTCAGTTTGTGCATGCAAAAAAAAAACCCAAAAAACCAGAAATACAAGATTGAAATACTTTTCCATCGTTTTCATGCTATTTATTTTGTAGTGTTTCTGCTATTTTATTAATGATAAAATGTGTAAAAATGATTTAAATAAATGAACCTTCTTTCTACAGTTCACCCAAAGCAGAGCTGGAAATGCAGTATTTGTGAAATGCCCACAGCACTTGCACACCTGCTGTGCCTCCTATGCCCTGCTGCTCAGTGAGGCTGTATCACACCAAGTTTCAGGTTTGATCAGTGTCAGATGGCTAGGGCACGTGCCATAGGAAACGCAGACATCAGAGCCTGTTCTCCAGAGGCTTTCTCAGCCTACCTAAATTGTTAGTAAAATACAGCAGGAATACTGTCCTGCAACTACACACACCTTTTCCTCCCATCCGGTTACAAAAGCATGGCAGAATCGGGTAACGTGTGTCGTTTCATCACACAAACTCAGCTCTCTGAGCTCCATCACTTGTTACAGAGCTCACAGACACAGATGATCACTGCAGAGACCACAGACATGTTCTGTTATGGGATGGAGGATTCCAGACAGGAAGTACCAAATGGGCAGGAAGTTCCCAGTTACATGCACAGCACAGGGTAGGTAGCAGAGATGGCAATTATGGCTCTGTACCTTAAGGAATAAAAGCACAGGAAGTTTCCAGGTAGGCTGCACGATTGCACGAGGCTCACTAACATGACAGGAGAGGCTCAAGATGAGCACTTCTTGAAATGAATTAGTTTTTGGAAAGCCTGTTTAAATTCTTCATTAAAAGCCGTATAAATGACTGGATTGATCAGGGAGTTTAAGTAACCTAACCACGTAAAAAAGTCCAGGAGGATGGGATGAAACCAGCAAGCATCTCGGCAGATTGGCAGCACTAGGGACATGACAAAAAAAGGCAGCCAGCAGAAAATGAAAGCTCCCAGAATAATGCCTAACGTTTTGGTGGCTTTCCTTTCCCGTGCAGCAGAAATTCTCTTCCTTTCCAGGATGCTGTCTGCGAGCTTTATTTTAACGTGATTGATAAATATTGGGGAGCCACCTGAATGGGAGTGCCCTTCATGAAGACTGGCGTTAATGGAGCAGAGGGAAGAGCCAGCAGAGCCAGTTATCAGGTGTGCTGTGGTAAAGCGTTTCCCACATAATGAGGGTGGCTTCAGGATCCTGGATCGAGCCGCTATGTAAATTCTCCCGTACAAGATGAGGAGGAGCACAGTTGGGATGTAAAAAGCTCCACAAGTGGAATAAATCGTGTAGGAAATTTGGTCTGTGTTCACAGTACACTTTGCAAGTTCTTCAGGAGCTTTCACTTGCCTCCAGAAGAACGGTGGCACAGAAATGCTGATAGAGATCATCCAGACCACAGCAATCATGAGCGCTGCTCGGCCTGTGGTCCGGCGTTTGGCATATTCCAGAGCATCTGTGATAGCCCAGTATCTGTCCAGTGCAATGACACAGAGGTGTAGGATTGAGGCTGTGCAGCACGTGATGTCTGACGATAACCAGATATCACACAGCACTTGGCCAAAGGCCCACGTGTGGGTGACAGTGTAAGCAATACTGATGGGCATTACTAGGACAGACACTAAAAGATCAGTCACCGCCAAGGAGCCGATGAGGTAATTCGCAGGTGTGTGGAGCTTTCGAGTCACAAAAATGGTAATGACAACAAAAACGTTTGCAAGGACCGTTGCCAAAGTTAGAACGGACAGAAGGACCGACAAGGAAACCTTCAGCCCTAACAGTGTCCCTTCATCCAAAGCCAGCGGTGCTTCAGTGAAATTTAATGACTTGTTTGCTGAGCTCTGGAGAGGGAGCTCTGCCGAGTGGTTATACTGAGTCATCCTCTGCTCTGATTTCACTTCTCGCTTCCCAGTGTAGCCTTTCTGGGATGCTGAGGGAAGATGCTTACTTTTCTGCTGAAATAGAACTTCTCATACTAGAACCCAACACAGAAGAAATATTAACTTGTTGAAAACTTCAGCTTACACAGTAGATGAGGTGCTCTCCGAAGTTACATTTTCCATCACATCACTTCAATGACATCATTGTTAAAGCAAAACATAATCATCCAGACATGATTCTGGTGTCTGACAAATACAAGCACTATCACAACACAGGTACTGTGAGTGGTGGGGATTTAGGTGGTTTTCATTTCCATCATGCAGGTGACTTAATCATTCTTTATTACCTTTCCTTCACACCTCCTTTCTCAACTCATCTGCAAAGCTGCATCCATAAATACTGAAGAGTGAGACGGCGAAAAAGAAACGTGGGCATGTAATTGGTGCCCCTGTGCTCGGGACAAAGCCACCCTCAAGAGTATTTTCTCTTCCTCTCTACTAGCTGAATGTCACATTTTTGATATTGATAAGGGACACTTTATTAGCAGGGCACCCAAGATACAGACCAATACTGTCTGCATTCCTTCTGTAGCCATCATTTGTGCCAGAACTGTAAATCAAGACCTCTTTTTGAAAAGCCCAGAGCTCGGTTTTCATTTCTTCCTCCAGAGCAGTGAGGTTTTCTCATCAACATTCAGTCTTCAAATGCTGAAGTCAGGTATTGGGTACCAGAAATCAATGCGTTGGCACTGAAGCTCACAGCATGTTCCAAGAACTGAGATGCTCCTGACATGGTCAATGATTGGAATGACTTCTGGAGTAGTGATTCCCTCAAAGGAGGAAGAACAGGCTGGTGAAGGGGTTCTGGAAAAAGAAAGCAGATTTTTTAGTGCAGAATGGGGATAGAAGAGTTGTGGTCGCTGAGGTATCACAGCCTACAGGCTTGCCATTGCTTTTCTTTAGATTCACTTGGTGTAACCTGAAATCTTTACAAACCTGAAGAAAACATCTGAAGACAGATTTATAGAATCATAGGATCACAGACTGGTTTGGGTTGGAAAGGACCTTCAGATCATCCAGTTCCAGCCCCCTGCCATGGGCAGGGACACCTCACACTAAACCAGGTCACCCAAGGCTCTGTCCAGCCTAGCCTTGAACACTGCCAAGGGTGGAGCATTCACAACCTCCCTGGGCAACCCATTCCAGTGCCTCACCACCCTCACAGGAAAGAACTTCTTCCTTAGATCCAATCTAAACTTCCTCCGCTTAAGTTTTAACCCGTTACCCCTTGTCCTTGAGATCTCTGACTCGGTTCCCCCCATCAGTACCAGAATGTCACTTACCTTATGCCAGGCCCAAGCCTTCTTGAAAGAGATCCTGAATATGGTCCATGAATGGCTGCGAGGGCTAAAAAGACAGTGAACTTCTCCAAGGAGATAGTCACCAGGCCAGCCTCCTCTGAACCGTCGAGAAGAAACACCTCTGTCACTCACAACCAGTACATCTGAAACAGAGCTGAGAGTCACTCGGTTAGGAATCTGTGGAGCAAGAGCATCATATACATGAAACACTGACACTTTGGTGTCAAACAGCCTCTCTTGAGCTCCTGAATCCTGACCTCAGAAACACTTGTCAGGTCTGAGTGTTGGAAGCAACCACCTTCTGTGAGTCAAACTTGCTTTTAAAGATGCTTTTTCTTCTGAGGTGCACTTTTCCAATAAGGGGACCTAGAAGAGCCTGCTGTTTCACACTAAATGCCCTGGGGTTTTTACCAGGAAGGCTAACCCATCTTCCCAATGACCATTCTTGTGACACTGAGCAAAGGTTCCACTTTTGAACGTAACAATGGCCATGGTGACCAAAGTCCATCAAATCCAGTCACCTTTCTCTGACAGTGGCTCAGCCCTGCTGCCTTTTTGTGATGCTTCCACAACTCCAATATGTTCTTTTTGAGGCAGAGGGAGCAGAACCACAAAGTGTTGAAGACGTGGGCGCACCACTGATTTTACTGCAGCATAATGATAGTTTCTGTTCTCGTCTCAGTTTCTTGCCTAATGATTTCTGAGATTTACTTTGGGTTTTTTAATCGTTCCATGGCCTGATCTGACATTCCCACAGAGCAGTCCCAATTAACATGATCCCAAAGCCATGAGTGGTAGCATCAGCATTTTTAACTTTTTGCTCACTTTTTGCATCTATCTGTCTTGTTTTCCTTCTTCTACTTTTCACTAAGGGTCTTTGCAGCTCTGCACAGTCCGTCCTTGTCTTTATTACCCTGAAGAGCTTTGTTTCATCAGCAGATGTCAGCACCCCACTATTCGTGTACTTTCCAGATCACTTAAAGTCTCTTGAGAGTCCAAGTAATTAAATCAGTTGGCCCTGAGTTCACTCAGTACACATCAGCTTTTTGTAATTACTTCAACAGACTGCGGAGGTATAACTTACCTTTGCAAAAGCCTGGCCTTTTCCTGTTCCCCAAACCACCATATTTGCTACGTGTACAGTGATCCTGTTGTTCATTCTAGCCTTTGCAAACTGGCTAGGTACAGACATCAGGCCTGTGGATAAGCAGCTGCCCGGATCTCTTTGGAAACTGGTACCACAGATGCAGGTGCCAAAAGAGACTGAACAGCCTTGCTGATACCATTGCACTTTGGATCTTGAGTTGCATTGAACTCTTTAGCTGAGCACTGTGTGAGAGTGAAGATTTAATGTTGTTCACTTTGGCCAGAAATAAAGGTTCCACTTGTAACCATCCTCCAAATAGTCTTTAGTGAGCAGGGATGGTAAAGTTCATCTGGTTTCTCTGTGATCATTATCTTCTCTGTTGGTTCCTGGTTTTGCCTGCTGTTCAGCTCTGCAGTTCAGCTCGCACGGTGAAGGCAAGGCAGCAGGGCAGGGTCTCTAGCCTGGTTAAGTTGGAGGAGAAACCAAGCTGCAGCAGGGCAATGCCACAAGCAGGAGGCTGAGTTATGACCCAGTGCCATCGTGTGGGTTGTGCCAACATGGAGCTGCAGCCCTGCACCAAGAGAGGCCAAGGATGTGCAGTCCAGTAAAGGAAGTCATGACCCATTTCTGACCCTTCTGGAACACAGATGCCATTTCTGGAGAACGGGGGGAGTCCTTTAGACAGCGATTTCATGGAATTACGGAATCACAGAATAGTTGGGCTTGGAAGGGACCTTCAAAGCTCATCTCGTCCACCCCCTGCAATGGGCAGGGACATCTTCCACTAGGTCAGGCTGCTCAGAACCACATCCAGCCTGGCTTTGAATGGTGCAGCTGACCCCACAGTGAGAACGCGTTGGTGCATCCCTGCAGATCTGTGCTGGAGTAAGTCATGGATACACCAGTAAGTGTGTTGAGATGAAAATACAGAATTGCCCTTTCACTGAATAGAGCAGGGAAAATGGAGAGCAAGATGGAATGTCTTTTAGCGAGCTGAATGTTTCAAGGTCACGCTGAAGGGAGAGGAATTGGGGAATTCATTCTCCCCCCCTCGTAGCTGGGTAACAACCAGGGGAATCGCAAAGGGTTGGCTGCGAACAGGGCTGAAGTTCAGCAAAATACTGAAAATCCAGCGGCTCTCCCCAACTTGTGCAACCGAGTCTGATCTTGGAGGTCAGGGTAGAACCCTGGGTAAAACAGGTCTGCTCTCTCCCGCTGCAGCCCCGAGCAGCAGCAAAGGCGCTGGCAGGCAGCAGATGGCACTGCGAACGGGAGTCACTGCGCACCGGCAGCTCGTGGGAGAGCTCAGGAGGGGGAGATTTTAAAGCGAGTTCTTGCGTCTTAGGGACAATTGACTCAAGGCAGCATGAGAGCATCTGTGGAGTGCAGCTTGGAGGTGGGAGCCCTGTTCGAATGGAATGCATTCAGAATGAGCGGTAGGAATCTGCCAGTCCATAGATCCCGATCAAGTCGGGATGCAGCTTCCAGGATTAAAACAAAGCAATGACAGGGAGCCCTGCACAGGAGAATGGGATCCACAGAAAAGGTGAAGCCTGTGTGAAAGTAAAAACTGGGGAAAAAGCTGTCAAATGTAGTGTGCAATCTGTATAATGTCTGTGTGCATCAGTAAGCTGCAAACGAGCCACGTTTCCTGGCTTTGGATTAAGCTGCCTGAAGTACAGAGCATTCTGCAAAGGCTATAAATAAGATAGATTAAAAGTGACAGGAAATAAAATCTATATGGACCCCATACAATCAAGTCAGCTTCGGCTGCACTGCGCACTGAAAGGCTGCCGCATTGCCATCAGAAATAAAGGAGTGACTGGGGGGACTGGTTTGCGAGCTGCAGTGGGAGCTTGCTTACAAGCTCATGTGGCTCTTGGAGTCAGCTCCTTGAAAAGGAAGCAGAGTAATCTAGAATAGAAGTGAGTGCTCTCCTATGATGAGGCAGTTTCAGCATCGCCCACACTAAACAAGGTGTCCCTAAGACAAGCTGCCAGGTCCCTGGAGACAGGGATGGGCATCACTGCAAGCGCTGCTCTGCTTTGTGCTCAGGGCAGGGGGGTGAGCTGGAAGCACAGCACGGCTCTTGGGAGAAGCCCAGAGCATCGCTAGGAAGTGGCAACCCTCATGACCACAGGAAAGCCGGGCAGCCCTCGTGCAGGGCCTGCCTTTGCTCCCCTGTTCTCACCCACTGCTGTGCATGGCAGGGACATTTCCTACACCTCTGCCTCCAGCTCCTGCGCTGTCTCGTGCTCCAGGCAGGGAGGACTGAGCAAGGCTCAGCTCTGCAGGACCACTTTCTTTGGCAGGAGGAAGCAGGGTGAGAGCACAGGGTCCTGCCCCAGGCCAGGATCTCCTTTGGCCACTGCTCAGCGAGTTCCTCTCTCAGCACAGGGCAAAGGGTGAATTCCTCCTGGGTGGGTGCCGGGCAGGGATTGCAGGTGCCTGGAGGCACCAGGCAGTGCATCCACGCACACCCCCAGCTCCACTCACACCTCAGGTTTTCACTTACTCCTCCCACCTTGCCGTTTCACACGGGATCCTGTCTCCTGATTTTTGCAGGTACCTGTGTTAGGAATAAAAGATGATTAAAAACTCAGGCTCTGACCTGAAACCAGGAGCTTGAGCTTGCACCTGAATTTCTCCGGTGTTCAGGCAGCAGCAAGTAACTGGTTACACTGGTTATTCTGATTATCCAGGATGCTTCTGAGATCTCAGGTGAGCTTCACATCACACCAAACAAGTCTTTAACACCACACCATGTTTCCAGAAGCAGAGCTGTCATACTCCAGCTAGTTTGCCCCCTCCTGACCTCCCTGTGCTCTGTCTGCATCACTATAGCTGAATTCAGTGGGCTGTTGCACTTCATGAGTTGTCCAGCTCATCACAGATCAAAACAACACACCTCAAGTACCATAAGTATGGACCAACTGTTGATGGATAACACTGGTTTGGGTTGCTCAGGATACAAGGAACTGTACATTTGCTGAACTTTTGATTAGAAAAGCAAGTCTTTGCTTGATTACATGAGGTCTGCAGTGCTGCCTGGGTTCTGCTTGTTACGTGTATACATTTTGCACTGGTTATAAAACCAGCGAGGTGAGCAGTGTTTTCAGCCTTCTTCTCCTTGCCCCCTCCTTCAGGGCTGCATCACAAAGTACCAAAGCCGAGGTGAATTCATCACAGTCCACTGAGACACGTGAAAACTCCCTGTGAGCTGCTCAGCCCCAGCAGGCAGCTGAGCCCTTTAGTGCTGAGCATCTCCCTGCTTGACTGTAAGGGGAGCTGGTGCGAAAGAGTTCGTGTTGCTGGAGGAGTATACATGAGGCTGCATACATTCGCTGCAGCACGGTTCATGCAGCACAGCTCAGTCTCTAATGCTAGGCTTAGGGTGACTATTTCGAAGGAAATCAGGTGTACCTGCTTCGGGTTTACTTTTTGATACAGAGAACAGTGCTCTATGATAAATAGATACGATACATACAGAACATTTCCCATGTTAAATCAGCAATGATGATAACTGGCAAGCAAATACTGGCGAGGTTTAACTCCTCCTCTCCCTTCTCCCACCTTCTCATTTTGCTCAGCTTTCAAGGAAGTATTGATGTTTGTTTTCTCTTGCCTTTATACACAGCAACATGCATCAGCTCTCCAACCTGTTGCTGACTACCAAGTTACAACCGCTGTTACACCTCCCAGGGCAGGGGGCTGGAATTAGGTGAACTTATGGTCCTCTCCAGCCTGAACTGTTCTGTGGTCACTTGTCAAAGGGAAAGGTTGGGATTTGGGCAGTGATGCCGGCAAATCCAACACCGCAACGTTACTGATCATTCCTTCGGAGGGAGCAGGGGCTGCAGCTCTTAGCTCTGGCGTTCCCTAGACTGCCATAAAGTCTGTGATGACAAACGTGCAAAACCTCCAATAAGCTTTTTCTTTCTCTTGTTTCCTTTCCCACTATGATTTGATGTCATGTAACAAGAAGAATTGCAAGGGCAAATGAAACACAGTGGGCTGTGAGTTTGCAATGCAGACTGTGTCCAAATGTGGGCAACGTGGAATCCAGGACAAGAAGGGGGACGCTGACTCTGGTCTCAGTGGTCGGATACAGAACGCCTGACCCGGCACATCTGACATCTAAAGAGTGGTTAAATCTCAAGCGTGGTTCACGCTCTCAGGCTCCCTCTATGGAGATTCTTCTTCCTTTCTGTCCTGAAGCCTGGTTTAGGTGGTGCCCGTTTCTTTCCATGGCCTACAAAGGAAGCCTGGAACCCCAGCACTTCAAAGTCCAGCTTGAACCTACCAGCCTTGCCTGGGTCTGGAGACAGTGGAGGACAGCAGGAGAGCTGGGGCAGAGATGGGAGATCAGACAGGGGTCTCCTGCCATGAAGCATGGAGCCCATTTAGGAAAGAACGGGGAATCACTGTATAACTCCCTACAGAGTGCTCTCTGCAGACCCAGGGACTTTTCCAAGTGTTTAATGCATTACTGGGGTGCTAATCCTTGTATGCAAATAAACAGTCAAGCCTTAAAAAGGCATAGAAAGGGTGGTAGAATTGTTCTACAGACCCGTAATCAGAGCATATCCCCTTATTGCCAACACAGAGAATGAAGCGGGTTCAGAAGGCAGCGCTTCCTCACCCAGTAAACCAATTCAGAGTGCACTTTGAAACATGGGCTTGCATTTCATGGAAGAAGGAACTCAGCCACCCTCTGTCCTGAAGGCAATTCAGGAGGAAACTGGGAGCAGCTTTTGCTTGAATGACCTCGAGCTGGCGGCTGGATGTGTCAGAGAACACAGGGCTTTAACCTACACGTGCAGAAAGAAGCACACAGCAATTCTACCGTGATGGGAACAAGGAGGCCTGGTAGCTGGGACTGTCAGTAATGGTTTGGGTGATGAAGTCAGTGCATGCTTCATCCAGTGAAATGACACTGGAGGGCTTCCAGCACACCAGGGAGCAGGATTAAGATTAAATTTAAGAACAAGCAAGAGGCCGTTAGTTCAGGTAGAAATGAGCAGCTGCCCTGTGCTGTGTGATGGAGAATCACCAGCTAGGTAAAAGCTCTGTGTAGTGTAGGACCAGCCTGCACTGTCAGCAGTACCATTGATCTTGTGCCTTGGCAAAAGGGCAAAGACCTTGACTGGTGTGTAACTAGGAAGAAGACTTCAAATAGATCTTGTTCTGTTCACCTTGGACAAGGTTAAATGAGAGCCCTGCGTTCAGCAGGGAAGAGAATGAGCAGGGATGTCTGGGCTTGAAAGGACACAGCTGAGGGAGATGCTCAGCAGACTTTATATGCATGAAAGCTTGCTGCAGAACAGGAAGAAACAGTGCATTCCCCGTGGCTGTGACTAATACCCCTGAAAAGAGAGGGATTTAACTGAAACAAGGAAGACTGAGCCATTAGGAACAGCTTGCAGATGGTAAGGGTACACAGTTGCTGACAATAGCTGTCATTGGGTGCACTGGGGTACCAGAGCCCCAGCTTCCACCATTGCAGAGCACGGACAGGAGGAAGGAAGCCCCATGTGTGGGGCAGAATGTACCAAAATGTTCTCTGACAGACTGTAGCATCAGCCCTGGCAGTGGTTCACACGTGTCCCTGGCTTCTGACTGTCGCTCCCTACTCATTCTCCACCCTCCTTTCCCACTGCACTGAACTTTGCTATAGTCCTCTGCTGCCTCACTCATTTCCTAGGATACAGACACAAGGTCCCCTGATACACACCACTTGTTCCTTTGATCCCTGAACGTTTGTAAGGCACTATGAAGCAGCATTCCCATATAGGACCTGTCCAGATTCCTCCAGCTATAGAAACCAAGGCAGCAGCCATCAGCTGCAAAGGAGCCAGAACAATCGGAGATGAGGGATGACTGGTGAGGATGCTTCTTGAGACTGTCAGGGTCTGGGGGTAAATGGGAAACCGCATTACAGGCAACATGAAAAAGAAGAGGATTGCCTGATGTTTGTTCATTTTAATATTCGAGAAGCATGCATGATGTACAGCCGACATCCTTCCTTATGATGCCACCTTAACTTTGGGGAGAACATGAAAAAGAAAAGCAAATTTGCCTTGAGAAACCTCACAGATCCCAGCCACTGCTTCCATTGACAACAGTTCCTGTGATGAGGAAGTTACAATGACTGGCAAAGTAATTCCCATCACTCTGAAGTCAGTTGGACACTTAGTATTGGGAAGGAAGTTTCTTCCCTGGGGTTTATGTCATTCTCACAACTGGGAAAAGGACTGTGTCTCTGGAAAACGTTATTCCCCTCGAAGTCTTTGTCATGCATTGCTTCCTGCAGTATCCTGGAAGAATCAGGACCATCTCATGATGGCAGGGCAATGCTGGCAGTCCTTGTCCTTGACTGGCTCCTCTTTGCTGCAGTACCAAAGCTCATCCCAGAAGTGGTCCACGTTCATCATTTGTTGCACGGTGACAGTCCATTGGCTCCAAGTGAGAGAATGGTGGGCTTTGCCCGGGGAATCCTGCTTGCATTCAAGCAGGGACATGAGCATGGATGGGTGAGGACTCCCGGCTTTGCGCTGGCACCTGAATGGGGGTGACATTGAGTCACCATCGTACCTGACACAGGAGTGAGGACGAAGCCAGGCAGCCGGGTCACTCACAAACAAACCCCAATGGTGTGGGATAATGCTGGGACAACCGCAGCCAGACCCATCTCCCAGCCGCGGTGCCCCAGAGCTTCCCCGGTGCAACCCGCACAAAACAACCTCGGTTTTAAAGCGGTCGCTTCGTTTCCCCGGTACCGCCCGGTGCCTGGAGGGCAGACCCGCAGCGCCCGTCTCAAACTGCATTGCCCAGGACAGGGAACCTTCCCTCGCACTACGGACGGGTGCCCGCGTCCGGCGCCGCTCGACTCCCCGCACCCGGCTGGGCGATGCCGGCGGGGACCCGCATCCACCCGCACCCACCGAGCCGGGGCGAAGCCGCCGCAGGCCCCGGCCTCCTCCTCCCGCCCCACCGCGGCTCCGGCACCGGCTCCGGGGCGGCGACAGCTCCGCGGAGACCCAACTTCAACCGGGGCTGCCCCCGCTCCCCGCCCCGTCGGCGCCGGCATCGCCCCGCACTCACCCTCGGTCCCCGCCGTCCCGCTCTCGCCCGGCTCCGGCGGCGCCCGCCCTAAATACCCGCGGCCCCGGCGGGGCTCGCAGCGCCGGCTCCAGCCCCTGCGTCCCGCTCCGCACCGGGCGCGCCGGCGGCGGCTCCGCGCTCAGTCCCGGCGCCGGCCGCGGCTCTGCCCATGGGAAGCCGGGGACCGGCACCGGAGGCGCTCACGATGCCTGCGAGGGAAGCCCCGGGATGGGGCTGGGGCTCGAGTCTGCAGCTCCCCACGCCGGTGATCCTGGCACAGGCGCGCGGAGTGGAGCCCTGTCCCGGGGCCGTGGCACATCCCCCGGGCGGGCCACGGCGCCGGGATCCCAAGTGGGGTTTAGACAAATAACCGAGTGAGATAACGGGGGCACCACCGAGGGGCAGGCGTGGAGGTGGCCGGAGAGCTTGGCTGGGTGGGCTTGTCCGTCAGCTTACCTGCAGCCGCAGGCTCGTGGCCCCTCTAAGCCGCACACCTCCTGCATCCACACCTAGGAGACACAGAGTGCCGATTCCTGCTCTTCAGAGAGATGCAGCCAGCGGGTTTTAACCGGGTTTAGTCTCTATTCAGAAATGAAAGCTGTTCTGGTGGGGTTTGTTTTTTCAGAGAAGCAACAACTTTGTTCAACCCCTCCACAAAACATCTCTATGGGAGCAATTCCAATAGAGCCAAGGTCTTGGAAGGAGCGATGGCACCTTTGCGGTGTCATTTGGCCTTCAGCAGGTTTTCAAGCAGCCATTGCCAAGCAGCTGCCTCCAGTTCCCTCTGGCAGCAATTTGCATATTGGACTCGTTTCAACAAACCCAGATCCTCTCATGATTCCTGCACACTTCGTGCTGCGGATAGCCTGCATCACCCTGCACCAGCGGGATGCCCTTTACACTCACGAGGTTTGTGACTAAGCCCCAGAGTGCTGCAGCTGCCCTGAGGTCGTGCTTTGTCCATGTATTTCAGGGGGTTTGCTCCCAACTTCACCTCCTCCAATAGCTACTTCCAGGAACAGCAGCATCTCATCGATTCCCCAGTGCCACTTAGGACTTAGAATGTGTTTTGTGAAGGTCATAAAGCTGCAGCCTCCCTTCACAAAGAGAAGAAAAGGGGGACTCTTTGAAATGCATCACCACAGCATGCATCTTACAGGGACACCCCCCCCCCAGTTCCCTGCAGCATCACTTCCCTTCCAGCCTGGGAGAGGAGACGTGGTGGGTCTTTTGAGCCTCCAGAATTCCCTAGAGACAAGTGGAGCTCCAATAGATGTTCTTCGAAAGTCTGGAGGAGATGCCTCTTGGTTTGTTTTCCTTCCAAACAATGTGGGTGTCCTGTCGTGGGTGAGCATGTGTTTGCTGTGATACAATGCTCAAGGGAAGGAGTTGGCTCTCTCCCGTCTCCAACCGAGGAATGAATTCCACCCTCAGGGCAAGAGATACCGGAGGGAAAGTTGCCGAGCTTGGCAGCAGAGCAGGAGCTGCTCTGTGGGCTGTGGCCACCCAAGGGCAGTCACTCAGCAGGAGCAGGGACCCTGTACCAGAGGACAGACCCCTCAGCACAGGGAATGAAGCTGGCACCATCCTCGTGGCACCCACCTTTGAGGTATTGATGTGCATTGATGGGGTCTCCTCTCAGGCTCTTCTCCATGCTAACCAGGCCCAGCTCCGCAACCTCTGCTCATCAGAGAGATGCCCCAGACCCCTGAGCATCCTCGTGGCTTCCACTGGACCCTTCCCAAGAGTTCCTTGCCTTTCTTGCACTGGACACAGTGCTCCAGATGTGGCCTCTCCAGGGTCCGGTAGAGGAAGAGACCATTACGATGTTAGGTACTGTTCAGGAACAGGAACTCCATGCAGAAAAGGGAAGTGCCTGCTGGCTTTTCCTTAGGCTGACTGGGAAAACCAAAGGGAATTTGGGGGATGAAAACTGGGTTTTGGGTGTTCTCCTCTGACTTCAATCATGAAGACACTCCCTTGCTTAATAACAGCTCCAGCTCATTTCACTCCTGCTCTATAAGGTCAAAATCAGTGTTGTATTTAATATCCTGTGTTGAATGTCCTGCTTAGAAAGAAGAATGCAACTATTCCTTTCTGAGATCTGCTATCTTTTTGCTCTTTTGATAGGGCAGGAGCACAGGGAGGATGCTTTTCACGCTGTAAGCCTAGACTAGAGGGAAACAGGGGAGGCTGATCTCATCCTGGTACAAGGAGTCCCCCAAAACCAACCACTTTTGCTCCCTGCTATGGTCAGAGCAGTAATACACAGGACCCTCCAGGTTTGCAACGTCCATTTGCTCATTGCTAATTTACATCTATTTCCTCTGAGCCCAGCAGTCTCCTTCCCTGAGGTTACCCAACCAACAGCAAAAGGGGCTGGCTTCTTGTCAAAGAAACCCACTTTGGCTAAGGAAGGCCGATGCAGCAAGGGAGGTCCCTCCTCCTTCCTGCTCCTTGGTATTTGCTGTCCCCTCACTTTCAACGTTAAAACCTGAATTAAAGACCCAAAAAAGAAGGCGACTCACAGCACTCGCTCTTCCCACATGAGTCATTTCCCTCTGAATTCCATGGTTTTGTCACATTCCAAATCCCACAGGCAGATGCTGGCATATGGAGAGTCAGTTCTTCAGGCACCACTTCCCGGTTTCTTTCGCCTTCACAAAGGCTTCTTCTGCAGTATCAAAACACAAAACCTGTCTCACCATTGCTGAGGTAGCTCCTGTCAGGGCCCGGAGCTGCTCTGCTGGAGCTGGCTTCCCCAAAGAGTGACGTGAACCTGCCTGAACATCCTGAATCAGAGGGCTGAGGAGGGCACCCAGCTGCCACGGAGCTGTGTCTGGTCACTGCAGCTCCATGTGGTCGCAGGCCTTTGCACGTAGAAGAATCCTGCTGCAGGTAAGCAGTGATTTCCTTCCTCAGGGAGGAGGAAGCCTCTCTCAGCGCTGTTCTTCCACTGGCTGGGGGGTGATTTTCTGATGGGTGCATATGGTGCTGGCTGAGGGATGGAGCCACCCCCCTGCAGGGCACTAAGGCAATGAGGGCACTGGAGCACGTTGCTTGAGGAGAGGCTGAGGGGCTCATCTTGGAAAAGGGAAAGAGGGATCCAAGTGCCGTCCTCAGCTGACTGACGGGTAGGGAGGACACGAAGCCAGGCTCTTAGCTGTGCACAGTGAAAGGGCAACAGACACACGATGCAGCAAGGGAAATCCCAACTAGAACCCAGGGAGAGCGGGAGCTCCTGCCCGTCCCACAGCCTCCTGCATAGCTTCAGTTGTCATAAGGGAGTAAAACGATCAAAGGTGGGAATTCATTACAGCGCTGGGCAGTCTCAGTTGGCAGTATGGCGAGGACAGGACGGTGCAGGTCAACCCACTGAGTGATGGAAGCAGGAATGTGGACTGGGAGGCACGCTGCAAGTCTGCTTAGTGTGTAAGCAGCCTTGTGACGAAGCGCAGCATGCAGTCAGAGGAACACGAGCAGAAGCATCGCCTGGCATAGCAACAGCTTTGAATGATTCATGATGTGAGAGCAGCCTCACGCGCGAGCTCCCAGGCAGGGTCCTTCTCTTGGGTGCTCAGGAACTGCCAGTTAGCCCTGGCCATGGCCTGGGGCTCACATTTGTCCTGTGGCTGATGTCCAGGAGCAAAGTGGTACACGCCGAGCTCTGTCAAACTCATCTGGCTGAGGCTCTCATGTTCACTCTTGGAAAGTGGCTATTAAACACTGGAAAGGGTTGGAAAGGAGCTCTGCTGCTCACCTTGTAACAGGCCGAGTAAAGAGCCTCAGTCCCCCCAGTGCTAGGAAAAAAGCTCCATGGAAAACCAGATTTGGGGAAATGAACTTTCTTCCGTTCTCCAGGGGGGATGCCCCGACGAGCAGCGGTAAAGATGCAGGCACACCAGCAGCACACAGCAGTTTAATTCTGCGTGACAGCTGCCTATGCAGAGCTGTTCTGCAGTCATGCACCCTGGCAGCCTTCCCCAGCTCTCACACAGATGGAATGTCAGCTCTCAGTGTCCATGCTCAGCTCCCAAGATACATGAGGTCCTGTCTCTAGGTTAACAGCACTTGGGTCCTTGCCTTCAGGCAGCTCAGATCCACAGGTGCAGGTCACCAGGAATCAAGGAATCACTCGATTGGTAGAGGTTTAAATGAAACTGCCATGAGCTGTCATCATAACTCCCGAATCCCCCCAGGTAAAACGTGTCCTGGAGCAGAGCAGCACATCCCTTGCACCCCCCCTTCAGTGAGACACAGACTGTGTGGGGTGTCATGAGCAGAGATGTTGAGAACTGACAGAGGAGCACCCAGAGCCTGGGCAACAGGTTACTGCCATAGCATCCATTGCTGACTGGGTGACCTGGCTTTGGCTGGGATAGAGCTGATTCTCTTCCCAGTAGCTGGTGCAGTGCTGGGTTGTGGCTTTAGTCTGGCAGTACCGCTGGTAGCACACTGATGGTTCAGTTGTTGCTCAGTAGCACTTACCCTGAGCAAGGACTTTTTGGTCTCATGCTCTGCAGTGAGAAGGGGCACAAGAGGCCAGGAAGGAGCAGAGACAAAACAACTGATCCAAACCAGCCAAAGGGGTATTCCATACCACAGGAATTGATAGAAACCAGGATAGAAACTGGGGTAGTTACCTGCTTGGGTCAGGCTGGGTATCAGTCAGCAGGTGGTGAGGAAGTATTGTGCATCACTTGTGTTTATTGGGGTTTGTTCCTCTCTATTTCACTATGATCATCATTCTTATTGCTATTATATTTTACTTGCTTTTCAATGGTGAAACTGTTCTTATCTCAGCTCAGGGTCTTTACCTTCCTCCTGATTCTCGTCCCCATCCCACTGGGGATGTGGGGAGTGAGTGAGGGGCTATGTGGTACTTACCTGTCAGCTGGGCTTAAACCATGGCACTAGGTCTGGGCTCATAAAGCAATCATCAGTTACAGCAGAGAAAGCAAAGGGCTATAAAGAGGCTGAGTCAACATTGCAATGTCCTTCTGCCCCGGGTGCTCAGTAATGTGAATGTTATTGGGTAAATATTTGTGTTGTTGGTTGAAGTGACAGACCTGTGCCTGTTGTTTGCCTTCTCTAGTATGAAATGAGGTGTGTGGAGAGAAGAGCAGGAGAAAACCCTGAATACTGAAGCACGAGACACTTGGATTTTCTTTACAGAGCCGCTTGTCCCTGTCAACTCCCGTTACATCCCCAACGATTTGCTTTCCTAAGAGAAATCCAAATGCTCAAAGCTGGGAGAAAAAGCAGCCC